GAAACTGCACTGCACCTTAAGCAGACTGCTTAGACTGTTGAGTAGGAACTGTTAGCACTGAGGTGGCCTCTCTGCAAGACCCAAGGAGATTCACCTCATTGAGTTCAATAGCTTATTGTTATGTAAAGTTATTCTCATACTGTCTGTCACGGACCTCTGTGGGGAGGGAGCAAAATCTGCAAGATGTCTGGAGTGTTGTGATGGAAGCCCTGCCCCATTCATGTATGCGCAGGATGTCAAGGGAATACACAGTGGGTGGGCTCAGTTTGCCATTTTGATTCACACACATACATCTCCATTGATGCTGCTCCTGTTTGTTTATCTGTATGGTTGCAGTTCTTCTAATGCTGGTAGTAAAGTTGTTCTTAAAAGTTCAGAAGAAGAGGCTGGATATTTTTCTTCTTGGGTGCCCCAGAAAGGAGGAGGAAATCCCAAGCTGAAGGGATCCCGCATGGGAGATCTCCGAGGAAGCCTGCTCTTAGAACCCAGGACAGTTTCTGTATTAAAGCAAGACCTACAGGGGTTTGGCTGTGTTTGTGACATCCTGGCTAAAATGCCCAAAACTTACTAGTATTGTTCTTACATTAGCAAAGAATGCTGTACTCTACACCTTCTCTATTTTACTAAAAAGTGTTATATGAAAGCCTTCATTGTCCAAAGCCATGATGGATGGTGGAAAGCAGTATCTATGGGTCCAACTATTGATTGTTTAATAGTGTATGGATAAATGCATAAGGAATGCCTATAAGTGATGTTAGGGGTATGTTGCCTGAGGATGGAATATGTGTGTATTTTTATATGCTGACAATACCACATTGTTGGCTGAGAATCCAAATAATTTCCAGTGGATATAAATATATGAACAGTGTACAAATGTAGTCTGTGCAGTAAGCAGCCTTCACTTACTCAATACCAGGTGTTTGTTTTTTTTAAGAAAAAGGTTTGAACATGATACTTTTTCTCACTTTCTACCCATTATATGGACTGGAAATAATTCTACTGATTTTGCTGAAAATTCATTTTAGTTTAGATGAGAGTTTCATGCTGCAGTCCTAGGCAATCTTACATAAAATTAAGCACGAAATTGTAGTTCTATGTCCAAGCATTTCCTCCCATTCCATGATTTCTAATATTTGATACATCCCTATCCTGCCATGATTGCACAGGATTGTCTCCTGCCCTTCCAGTGTTAAGAAGTGCCACATGGGTCTGAGTATTATGAATGAAGAATAAGAGATAGCTGTATCAGTGGCAACCCTCGGTTTTTGTAATGCTTAGTTTGTATGTGTATGTATATATATATATGTATATATACATATAGTCACACACAAACACACACACACACAGAGCTCAATCAGAGGTAAACGATATTGGATTAGATAGTCTTAAGGAGTAAACTTGCTAGGAATAAAGCAAGTTCCATAAAATTAATAAGTTCATACATACATATCTGACACTCTATTACCGCTCAGGGTAAGAAACATTATAAAAAGCACAGAAAAGATAGAAAATAAAGGCATGAGTTAAGAAAAGGAAATATAGCCATATCTGCTTTATACCAACACCATGTATTATACCTCCCAAACCATTCTTGCTTCCATCTATTCCATTCTTGCTTCCATGTATTCACCACTTTATAGATTGCCTTTTATTCTTTAAACTTCTCACCTCTTCTTTTGAAGGTATCAACTTCATCCAACTGTGATTATGTTTTTCCTTTCCTTTCAGCCCATTCAATCTTCCTTCATGTATTTGCTTTGCAGTTTGATCATATTTCCCTCTACTTTACAAACCACCTTAACATACTTCTTTCACACTTTCATACTCCTGTAAACAATCCACATTCATCCTTGACCCCAGCTGTTCTTTAACCATACACACTTCCTAAATAATCCATTTTCACTACATTCAACTTACTTTTACGTTTCTCCCAACGTACTCAGTTCCAATTTCATATAACAAAATGAGCAGAAGCACATTCTTATTCACAGCCATTATCTGTTCTTTCATTAAACATTTTTCCTTATACCAGACCACATATTACCTACTACCTTTCTATCAGCATCTGCATGTCTTAACATTTCTACAGCTTCTCCTTATTTTTAGTACATACTGTACAGAGATATACTGATTCATGTACTTAATATTTGTGGGTAACTTGCAATCATTCTCTCCACCTTCCCTGTCAAACACAACTATCTTGGTCTTTGTTATCTTAATTTTCAGATCCATACTCCTTGACACATCAGGCAATACATCTAACATTCACTGCAAAAACATTTAGGTTTTCAGCCAAGAATTCAGCATTTTTACACACAAAAGTACACAATTATTCACTTGCCCAGCCAACAGACCTCTAATATCACCACAAGCATTCCTTATACATTTATTCCTAAGTATATTAAACCACCAAAGGGACATCACACATCCTTATCTTACTCCCTGCTCAATGCTGAATTATTAACTAAGATTCCTTTATTATTATGCAGGCTTTACTTCCATTACACAGTATGCCACCATATCACATTTAGCATCCATTAACAACTTTAACTCCCTACTTATACAAACTATTCCAGAATTCCATTCTATTCATTTAATCACATACTTTTTCTAAATCAACAAACGCGCAGTAAACTTTCTTTCTCACACTGAGACATTTCTCAAAAACAGTCTGAAGAACAAACACCTGGTTTGCCCACCCCCTGCCTGGTATAAAACCACACTGTACTTCCCAAATTTAACTGTTACCTCCTGTATCCTTTCAAATACAGTTCTGCCAGATACCTTCCCAGTACATTTACTAATTCCTCTATACAGTAGTCTTTATATTCATATTTTCTATCTTTCCCTTTGTATAAGTGAAACAATAACATTTTACAGTTATCAGGCACAGATGGAATCTTCACACACATTAGACAAGTGACACAACCATTCCATAAGCAAAATGCATCCGTATTTTAACTTTTCTCCAGTTACAGTATACACTTACAGCCTTACAATTTTTCCACACTCTCATAGCCTTTAAATCTTCCTTTCCTCGTGATAGTTGCATATTCATTATTCATGAATAAATGAAGGAGCAGGAATTTGCTTTGGGAAAAATTGTGCAACATTCTCAATGAACGTTATTCAAAATGAGAGAGTACTGGAAAAATGATCGGGCTGTTCAGCAACCCAAGAATTAGAATAGTTATTGGTGCCTACACATATCCTTGACTGAAGATTGATACACTCCTTCTGCTGGGATGATCATCCTCTTCTACCAGGGGCACAGCTTTAGGAGGGGCACAGGTGGCACAGTGAGGAGGAAGAGGTCACCTGCCTAACCAGCTAGATCAGCCTAATCAACCCTGGTGATCAATGGAGTGACAGACATTGCAGCTAGATTGCCCTCACATCTGTTTAGAAAAAGGTTGGTTTCAAATGCATAGCTTAGATATAAATTAATAATTATTGCAAATGGCAAAGGAATATATATTCCAAAACCCTTGATCATTTATGATCAAAGATTAATATATTTAAAAATATATATTAAATAATAGGTTAATTCTCAATCTATTTGCGCTAAACATCTTCATGAAATTAAGAGTTTGCCTCTGGGCACCATTTGTAGATTTAAAATATATTCCTGATTATTGATGAAAATGTTAAAAAAAATCTTTTACATGTTCATAAACATAGCGTATGTTCCCCTTCTGCTGTTACTATTTTGAAATGTTTTAGAATTAATGGTCAAGAAGTAAGATTGAATGGGTGACAAGAGAATACCCTGATCTAGTGTACAAGATCAGAGGAATAGGTAAACCTAATGTTAACGGGTCTTCTGTGCTTTAAAAGTTCAACATTAAAAGCTTTAGAAACATTCAGTGGGATAAAATGTTAGAGGCATGTTTGTTGAAGGGGGAAAAAAGGATGATGTTGGAAATAAAGGACTAACCTAGGTTTGTCAGTGTAAGAAATGCTACAAAGATCTGAACAGGACCAGGATATCTCTTTAGAACTTTCAAAACTGTTCCTGGATCAGAATTGCAAGTATAGCTCAATCTTAGTCACTAAACTGAATAGGCTTATTGGCACTTAGTATTTTATTTGCTGTGAAAAAGCCAAAACACCTATTTTCCCAGTAGAAAGTCTTTAACATTTGTTCTTTCACTGTCCTTCTGATCTCAAAAGTTTAGCATAATCAGTACATATCCTCAGTACCTTTCTGGAATTTACATTTAAAGAAAAATGTATGAGCATTTTATATTTTAAACATGATTTGTATCTTTTCTTAGTAGTCCCCATGTATCTGAATCATAAGTCAACTGGACTGCAATGCTAAAGTTTTAGATTATTAAATCAACGAAAATATTCCAGGCCCATGTTTAACATGCAAAAATGTATCTGGAACCCTAGAAGAAAAAGCAGGCAGAATGGGAAAACTGGAGGAGAAAAACAAGATCTGGTATTCCCTAGGCTCTAATTTTCCTGCTCCTGCTAAATCTTCTCCCTACACAGGTTTCAGTAAAGTAGCAGACTGCCAGCCTTTTTATACATTAGCAAAGAGCACTTAGCCCTCACAAAGATTTACATGTCTTCCAGAACATTCTAAATGGAAGCATTCATATCCTACAGGTACATTTTTGCCAAAAACATATCTGATACCCATTTTTAGATTTATAATGACCTGTCCTATAATAATTTGATTATAAGGTTGTCTTATATGCAATTTATGGTAATTTGGATTACTGGGCTACCAGTCTTTTCTAAATGAAATAGCTGCTTCCAATTAAAGCTCTGTGTATGAAGTTTTTGAATACTGATTCACAGACTTTAAAATGTTATCTGGTTGAAATGCCCACTTTTAGGTGTTCCTAAATAAGCATTAAATTCATAAGTAAATGAAATAGCCATATAAAATCCAGAACTATATCATATTAATACAATTAAAAGCAAGTGATGAATGCAGAATCACACCAGTCAATTCAAAGATAAAATATTTACTAAGAGTTGGAAAAAACAAAAAGGTCTTCATCCATTTTGGAAAAAGAATCCATAATACAGCCAAGGAATGATTCTCCCAGGGAATAAGTTAGATGCCAAGGGTCTCTTCCTGGTCATTACCTGACACATTTAATCATGAGAAACATTTGAAAACTGCCCCTTCTATGTTTTGGGGATTTCCACTTAAGCAAGTAGGAACATATAAAACTTTACATTATAAAAATTAAGCACTGATCAAGACTTATTCCTTTAAAGGAGTCTATCAAGCCACTGAACTGTATATTTCAGATCCTTTTTTCAGTCAGATTGATCTGGACATGCATGTATGGTAGAATAGTCATGACACCTGAGTGACTAGTAAGAACTGCAGGAAATGAAACATTCAAAATAAGATTACCTTGGGCAACAATCCTGTATGTCTATCTGGAATATGTTCTGTTTAATTCAATGGGACACATTCCCAAAAAGACAACTATATAGTTACTGTGTTAGACGAGCACCCAGCAAATTGGAATGAGATGCAATGCACTTCCAACACTCCCTTGATTTCTGATTAACTTTTACCATTAATACCTTAAAAACTGAGAGTTATATTTGGGGCATTAAAATTAAGAAAGTTGATAAAAGTGAAGGTGTACACAAATCATAAATAGTTCCCCTCCACCCTTTGCTTCTTGGTGGTAAATGTCTACCCATCCTCCAAAATCATAATTTTTGCACTATCCAAAAGAGACACACATACAAGAGTGACTTCTTACATCCATAATCATTTCTTCTAGCTTGTTCTCCTTTCCCTACAGGCAATATGGCAGTGACAGCTGGGCCTGCGCACCCAGTCCAAATGCCTGCAAGATACAGCAAGAGTAGGTAAAATTAGCAGTGACTCCCTGAACTTCCCTCTAGGCAATACAGCACTGTTCAACACTCCACCAATACAAAGTGGTCTCAGCTGCAATAACAAGGAGGGAGAGGGAGGGGGAGAGATTATACAATCAAGTACGTGGTGGCCTTAACACAGCACAGTCACTTGCAGCCACCCCATTTTTCAATTACCTAGCTGGATAGGTGAGTGACAACATCACTGCAAGAAGTATTCACTGCCATTACTTATCCTCTTAGCTCTTCTATTTTGGGGAGTAATCTAGGAGTGGGGGGGGGGGGGGAAATTTCTGATCAATGTTGCCTAGGGCACTTCAAAGAAAGCAACCCCTAATTCATCAAATAGGTCAAACAAAACACAGTTTCCTTCAAACAAAAGTGTAACTTCTATTTCTGCATATGTAACCCGTAAACATTTAATAATTATTATATTTAAAAGAATATGTCCTCCCCACCACCAGATTTCCTCTCCAAATGTTCTAACATGTCTTTCTGGACTCCTTATGGTTGCCCCAATTCAGCTGGCTTGAAATCTTCCTGAGAAGCTATGGACTCTGCTTTGCTGGGTCCCAGGGAATGTTCAGAGTTGGTGTGGATGGCAGAGGCTTCTGGCTCGCCTTCTGCAGCTACATCCCCATCTTTTGGGGGCTGAGAACCCTTGGAAGCACAGCTCTTGAAGCAGATCTGGAAGACCTGGAGCGTGGCCATGACCAGAATCAGAAGCATCACCACCGCCACCGTGATCAGGATGAAGATATAGTTGGAGGCGTTTGGAGAAGCCAAATGCGTGGTGGTGCTGTTGACGTTCCGGGGAGAAAATGACTCCAGAAGCGAGACATTTGGACCGCTGGTGCTGTTCCCAAGGAAAGTTCCCGTCGCCCTCGGAGTAGACGGAGTTGGCTTCGCCGTCGCTGCACCATCTCTGGCTGGCGCGACGCAACTCTCTTCGTTTGCCGCCAAGCGGGATCTCCAAGCGCATAAGCAACGGAACTCGCCTTGGGCGCTAAAGCAATCCGTAAATTCCGCACAGTCTCCGCTGCTCGGGCTCCAGTAGCCGCTGGGGCAGGAGCACAGCCGCTGCTCGGTGCCTTCCCAATGGGAGCCGTTGGGCGACAGGTGGCAGGTGAAACGCGCCTCTCTCCCGGGGCACCTTATGGTAAGCACAGTGCCGGGGGGACTGAATTCTACGGCCGCGCTTTGAAGTTGAAAAGGCAGCCTATAGGCCAGGCCGCGGACGCCAGAAGCCGGGTGGAGCGCGGCGCACGTGCCCGCGTAGCTGTATTTACAGATGTAACCAGGGCTTGCCTTGGTGCATCCGTGGTCCTTCAGGCCCCACGGCTTCGAGTGCGGCTGACTCAGGTTGACTTGCAGCCCGGCGCATCTCTGCATGGTGCAGGACTTGCTCGGCTCTCTGAGCCAGCTGGGCGGCGTCGCGGTGCCGTTCGCCGTCGCCTCGTGAAGCCCGGGGGAGACCCAGGAGAACCCCCTAAGCGGCAGGTCTGGAAAGGTGCACTGCTGGGCTTTCTTAACCAGGCCCAGCCAAAACAAAGAGACCCCCGTCTCGCTGGCGAGTCCTCTCAGCAGAGCGAGGATGGCCCCGACTTCGCTGCTGCCGCTAGCCGTGCTCAGGCCTCCTCTGTGCTGGGCGCAAGCACTCTGAGCCTGGTGAAAGTTCATGCGGCGTAGGTGGACGCTGTAGCAGGCCCCGGATCCGTGGCACCTGGTGAGGCCGCTTTGGGGTTGCTCAGCAGAGCCCCAGAGCCCCGAAAAAGGCTGCAAGAGGGCAAACGAGGCGAGGATCAGCCCCTGCATCTTGACTCTCTGCTCCACAGTGGGAACGAAAATAGGAGCTTAAGGGGCAGCCTGGATTGAAGGAATGCGGTGTAGAGGGAACTCCTTTTCCTTACACTTCACAGCCGTATCTGGACTCCCACAGCCTTCCCTTCTAATTGCAGGAAGGAAATGTGTCAGGAGTTAAGCCTGACCTTCACATCCTTGGTTTACTGAAGCGCCTGTTTGCAGATACAACCAGCCTCTAGAGGAGTCGGCCCTCTTTCTTCCCCTGGCAGAGGCTGGAGAAGTGCCCATATTAAAGAGACATCGAAAAGAAAAACCAGCATTTGAAAGTGTTCTTTGGCTAAACTAGAATTTTAATCCTCTGTATTATTTCCTCCATCCATATTAGTAATTAGTAAACATACATCAACTGTCTAAATGGATTTCTTTAGCTTTAAATAAAATTCTTTGCCTATGCCAAAGTAGGCTAGATGATCTCCCACATCCCATAAGCCAATATCTCTTCCAATTGTGTATTGGCTGGGTGTGTATAAGTTAAATTTTCAATTTTGTTAAACTTTAGGAGCAGTGTCAAATCACTAATCTGTAATTTTGGGAAGACTAGTCTGGATTAGGACTAATTATGTGTGAAAGCCACTGGATGGTTTTGATTAATTCACAAGATCATTCTGGGAAAAATGCATAGCTTTGTGTCTTGAGGCAAGGAGCTGGATAATATATAAAACCCAAAGTCATTGATTAAGGTCATTCCCCCATTAGAGGCTTGCAGCATTTTCATAGCATTGCCCAGCATTGTTGAAGCAAATTCTCATTACTGTAATTTTGTGAGTGTCAATTTTGTCTGGAAGATGCTATAAGTCACAACTGGGAAAATAACCTAAAACTAGCACAGTTAGAAAACACTACAGTTGACCACTGGGTCTGATACACTTCAAAACTGATGTGTTTTTTCAGTTTTTTTACAGATGTTTAGGAAACTCAAGAGATCTTATATCAGCCACTGACTATAAGTAGCCCTTGTTTAGAAACCGTTCACAGTTACGACAGTAATGAAAAAGTAACTTTATGACCAATGCTCACATTTACAATCTTCACAGGTCTATAAAGCAAAGGAAAGCTGAAGTAAGATCATAAGCACAGTTGTGGTTTCACTTAGCGACCACTTTGCTTGATCTAGTTGCCAGTTCCAATTGTGGTCACTAAACGAGGACTACCTGTATGTGACTATAACTACAATATGTCATTCTCTCTCAGCCCCCATATTTTTATAGCAGTGTTTCTCAACCTCAGCTACTTTAAGATGTGTTAACTTCAACTCCCAGAATTCCCCATACAAATACTTGTATTGCCTTTATGCTATAAGTCACCTTTTCGAAAATTGCCTAAAAAATGAATGTGGAAATACATACATTTAATCAACCAGAAGACTCTTCATTTTTGCTGCAACAGATAGATACAGGCATTCCTCCAGTAACTATGTCTTGATATTTCAGCTTTTTTAAAAAATGGCAACTAGATAACATTCTTAATAAAGTTTTTTTTTTTTTTAAGTAAATCTCAGGAACTGGATGCTCTACAGACAGACAGATTAATGAAGGTTTTTACTAATTAAAAATAAAATGAGCATTAGGGATTAATTTATAATCCTATTCTTCCCTACCTTCTCCCAGTTTGGCATTTGTCCTGAAAGTTAAAAAAAAAAAAAAGTAGTTAATGGGAAGTCTGTCTCTTACAGCTCTGTATCCTGTTAATTCCCACAGCCAAGCTGCTTGCATAAAATGTGCCAGAATTTATCCATCTCCTAATGCTGCACTTAAGACCAAAATAGGAGTAGGCCTTTAATTTTAAGCTCCAGTATCAATACAAAGTGAATTAATGTCACAGTAATTCATCAGCCTGATTTCTTTGAAATTAGTGGCAATAGTTATATTTATGCTGCTCCTAGTGGAACCAGCATTTTATGAAGTGATTGAAATCTTGAGCCTCCACATAATCTGAAGAGGTTTCAGCTCCTACACAGTTTAGGATCAATCCAGAGTAGCCTTTGAGGACTAGGGTTAATGTCTCACATATTATGAAAATATTTTTCCTGTTGGTGATGTGCCATCAAATCTGTGAAGTAGATTTCCCAGACCAAATCCTTGTATAATAATCCTTAGTTTCAATTACCTTGCTGAAGCAAATCCAGGTCCATCTAGTATAGCATGTTTATTTTAAAAATGTTCTTGACTAAAGAGGTTCCATTTAGTTTTTGTAGCAAATAAACCCATGCTCCTTGATTTTTTCAGTTCATTTTTAAAGCTAACTAAGCAAGCATTTTGTATTTCTGTGTTTTGTAAAAAAAAAAAAAAAGAAAGAACTTGTTAGATATAGACTTTGCTTACACATTGCATTAAATCATGGTTTATTTATCCAGGGTTTAATGAATAAGCCTCAGTTGGCTGGGTTTATATAACACTCTGAACTATACACCAGGCTTTACAAACTGCAGTAGTTGGTTCATGCTGTTCACTAAGCAGAAATCAATCAAACCCATGCCTTGACGTGATCTGTGAATCCAGCCATTGTATTGTAAAATAAGAGGGACAATCTCTTTTCCATACTATTTACAATTTATAAGCCCCCTAATGTTCTCCTTAGATGCCTGTTTTATGAACTGAAAATCCAATTACTCTTTGTAGAGAAAGTGTACCGATATTTCGTTAGATACAAGGATATAAGCATTTGTGGTCTTCTGATGTTCATGGCCAAGACCACATTTTTCTTCCTGACATATTACAGTTTCTCAGCCCTCAACCTGTAATATTTTCCCACTGGGGAAATATAGTTTTCTCTTCAGCTGGCACATCTGGTGTGATTGATAATTAGAATGCAACTATTTCCATATCATGCACATATTTTGGTAGTGTCTGTAAAACACTACAGATAAGTAGCAACACTCTCCTGCTAATATTAGGTTTATTTTTATATTATTTGTCTTGGTGTTTTATTGTGGAAATTGAAGTTCCCCCCTGCTGTATCATACAGATTCAGAAGTGTTTATGAAACTCAGTCAAAAGGAAAGAAAAGTAGTAGCAGCAGCAATTCTACTGCTACTACTAGATAATTCACAGAGATTCTCTTTATTATTTATTATTTTTCAAGGATACATCTTTTCTCAATAGCTCTGAAGTATAGCAAATTATTAACACAAGCATAAATGCACACACTGAAATTGTGTCCTACCCTACAACCTAACTACTGCATCATTTGATATGCACAAAGGAGCATTTTGTAGAATGGGGCAATACTGCATCATTGTGACAACAGCTTTCAAAGAGAAAGCTAGATTTTCTTTAAATCTATACAAGTTGTGCAATATCAAAGACACAAATTACTGGATTGACAAATGGTGTAGAATGAAATGTTATAATTTATCTTGGTTGCCCAAGCTAAAGTAAATCAAAATCTCTGGAGAATTCCAGACCATTGGTGATGGCCAGATTTCCTGGGGAAATAATTACAATAACAGGAAGTCTCAAGCCTAGCTATAAAGAAGTGACTTCAATTCCTGGCATTTTGCCTAGGCTGACCCTTCAACTCAACATCTTAAAGGAGGAGGCAGCAAGTGCCTGCTAACAAACAGCAAATGTAAAATTTAAAATACAAGGAAAGGCATTTTCTCATTCAAGGCCAGAAGACTATTGTGAAGTAAAATCTATTCTTTATAGGATCCTGATAACATTCCCCCACCCCATTCCAGTTTAAATCCTACTTCAGTTTAGCCGCTCCAGCCATCTAATGAAGTGAGCTATAGTTCATGAAAGCTTATGCCTTTTGATAAAGTTTGTCAGTCTGAAAAGATACTACTACACTCTTGAAAAATTAAAAATGAAAGTTCATTTAAAGAAATAGTTTTGTCCTATCAGTTGCTTCTTGTTAAGTTCTGAACCCAAACTCTGCCTTTATTCTCTGTTGCAATGGTTCCTGACCTGTGATCTGAAGATGGGAGTCATGCAGCTATTATGTGTCATCCCTGGTACAGATACCAAATTTAAAGCAACTTTATATGGGCTGCCAAAATCCAAATAATCACTTTTTCTTCTTGTTCAGTCACTCCCAACTCTTCCTGATTCAACGGACTTCATTTCACCAGGACTGTCTGTCAATAAGTGCTTTTTTGAGTTCCTGTAAGCTCATGTTCATGGCATCGATGACAGGGTGTAACCACCTTGTCTTTTGTTAGCCCTCAATTTTTCCCAACATCAGGTTCATTTTCAGTGACTGTTGCCTTCATATTAAGTGTCCAAAATATTTAAGTTTTGGCTCCATTTTTAGTGGTTCCAGTGAGTTATCTGACTTTACTGCACCTAGTATCCCGGTCTTTACCCAATCAATTTTTTCTATGTTTTTCTTCTTTAAAAGACTGTCAACCTATTGACCATTTGTTGTTGTTGTTGTTCAGTCGTTAAGTCGTGTCCGACTCTTTGTGACCCCATGGACCATATTGCGCCAGGCCTTCCTGTCCTTCACTGCGTCCCTGAGTTGGCTCAGTTTCATGCTCATTGCTTCAAGGATGAGATCTAACCATCTCATCCTCTGCCATCCTCTTCTCCTTTTTTCTTCAATCTTTTCCCGCATCAGGGTCTTTTCCAAAGAGACCTCCCTTCCCCTTAGGTG